CGGCGGGGGAGGTTGGGGGGGGGGCGGCGGGCTTGACGGGCTCCGGCCTTCCCCGCAGGGCTGCTGCACGAGGACCTGCGGCTGCTGCTGGAGACGAGCCTGCCGGCCAAGAGGAAGAAGGTCCTGCTGGGCGTCGGAGACCCCAAGATCGGCGCCGCCATCCAGGAGGAGCTGGGCTTCCCGTGCCAGACGGGTGGCGTGGTGGCCGAGCTCTTGCGGGGTGAGCGGGGCTCTGGGGGGCTGGAGGGGGGTCGCTGAGGAGGGGGCAGCGTGGCTGGAGCCCTGACCCCCCCTCCCTCCCTCCCCCAGGGATCCGCCTGCACTTCCACAGCCTGATCAAGGGCCTGACCGCCCAGGCCGCCTCCAAGGCCCAGCTGGGGCTCGGACATAGCTACTCGCGGGCCAAGGTGAAGTTCAATGTCAACCGGGTGGACAACATGATCATCCAGTCCATCAGCCTCCTGGACCAGCTGGACAAGGACATCAACACCTTCTCTATGCGGGTCAGGTGAGCCGGCCACCCTCCCTTTGCAGTGTCTCTGGTTGGACCTGCACTGCCCTCTCTCAGTCCCTCTGGACACCTGGGTCCCTGTGCGGGGGGGGGGGCGGGGTTAGGCAGGACTTCCCTGCCTCCTTCAGCTTACCACAGGCAGCTGGGCCACCACCACTGGCTGTATAGAAAGGGGAGGCACAGCAAAGAACCCCCCGTGCACCCCAGCCTGGCCGCCCCGTGCCTGAGCTGTTTGGTTTGTGGGGGCACAGGCTTCCCTTGTGCAACGGAGGGGAAAGGCCCACGAGCAGGGATCCCTTTTGGGTCTCACGCTTGTCTCTCTGTGGCGCAGAGAGTGGTACGGCTATCACTTCCCGGAGCTGATCAAGATCGTGAGCGACAACTACACGTACTGCCGCTTGGCCAAGCTGATTGGGAATCGCAAGGAGCTGAGCGAGGAGAGCCTGGAAGGCTTGGAGGAGATCGTCATGGACAGCGCCAAGGCCCAGGCCATCCTGGATGCCTCCCGCTCCTCCATGGGTCAGTGGCAAGGGGGGGGGAGGAGGAGGCTGGAGGTGGCATTCCACTGGGGTTTGTCAGAGGGAGGCCATTCCAAAATAAACCTAACTTTGAGGAGTGCTCCGTAATTTACACGGCCGCGTGGTTGCTCAGCACATTGTGATACGGATTCTAAAGTCCGCATTTTGCTGTGCCTGCAGGAAAGCGCACAACTTGTCCTATAAAGGAGAAACGTAGGCGAGAGGGCTCTGCCTGCCTATTTGAACACACACACACACTTTCCCCAGACGAAGAGCTGAAGTCTCTACGCCCCACCCCCAACTCCAGTCCTGGGTCCTTTGCAGGCCATGCGCTGCATCCCGGCTGAGTCACTTGCCCTCCTCGGTCAGGACCCTTATCATCCCTCTGCTCTGGCCCCCCACAGGAATGGACATCTCACCCATTGACCTCATCAACATCGAGAGCTTCTCCAGCCGGGTCATCTCCCTCTCGGAGTATCGCAAAGGTTTGCAGGAGTATCTCCGCTCCAAAATGAACCAGGTGGCTCCCAGTCTCTCGGCCTTAATTGGGGAAGTGGTGAGTGGCTTGGGGCCTTTGGGGCAGCTTTTGCGTCGTACCTGTGTGGTGTGGAGAGGGCTCTCTGGCCGCAGACATGATGTGCATTTGAATCTGTCAATCCACTGAATGTCAGTGCTGAAACCTATGAATGCTGATCTGGGCCAGGGAAGGGAGGAAGGAAGGGAGGAAGGAAGGGAGGGCTGAGGCAGCGCTTGGCCTCTCCGGCAGGCAGGCAGAAGGAAGAAACCACACTTCTGCCCCCAGTCCAGGCAAGCTACCCGGACAGGAGGGGGGGGTGTTAATTTGGGCTTTGGGACATGGAATGCAGGGGGGGGGGCGAGCAGTGGCTGGAGTTCTCGCATTGCTTTGATCAGAGCTCGGTTCTTTGTGGGCAGCCACTTAGATAGATGAGGGCAAGATGGGCGGCCACACAAATCGCATGGACGGAATGAACCGGTTCTCTGTTCTCTCCGCACAGGTGGGGGCTCGCCTCATCTCCCATGCAGGCAGCTTGACCAACCTGGCCAAGTACCCGGCCTCCACGGTTCAGATCCTGGGGGCAGAGAAGGCCCTCTTCAGGTAACCAGCTTAACGGGGACCAGGCGCTGCTGCTGGTTACACCCACAGCCGCCTTTCCCCTCCCTCCCCTGGGGTTGGGCAACCGGGTGCCAACGGGGTCGTCTGCGTGGTTGTCTCCTGCCCTGCAGGGCCCTGAAGACCCGGGGAAACACTCCCAAGTACGGCCTGATATTCCACTCCACCTTCATCGGGCGAGCGGCGGCCAAGAACAAGGGGCGCATCTCTCGCTACCTGGCCAACAAGTGCACCATCGCATCCCGCATCGACTGCTTCTCAGGTGGGCTGCGGGAGCCCCCAGAGCCCCTTCCCTCCGCCGGAGAGGGGAAGGGAGCCGGCACGGGTGCCACTCGCCAAGGAGCTTCCTGCCTTTGCCGTGATGGTTACATTTTTCGTCAGCAGTATTTCACGCACAGTGAATGTTGACATCAAAATATCTGAGCAAAGGCAGCAGCCGGAGGGCCTTTCTCAGCAGCTTCAGCTCAGCTCCTCTCTCTGCCCCTCCAGAAGTCCCGACCGCCGTCTTTGGAGACAAGCTGCGGGAGCAGGTGGAGGAGCGGCTGGCCTTCTATGAGACCGGGGAGGTCCCTCGCAAGAACCTGGAGGTCATGAAGGAGGCCGTGGAGGAGGTGAGGGGGGGCGCAGGGAGGGGCTGCGCTGTTGGGCGTGATGAAGACTCTCAGCCTGACCAGCCTTGTCGTCTGTGGAGGCCAAAGCTGATTTAATGAGCCTGATCCAACCAGCGCCCTTCGAGGCCAAGAGCCTGCCTGGCAAGGGGAGGGGGGCAGGTGGAGCCCCGGTGACTGTCCCCTCCCTCCACAGGCTTCAGAGGCAGCAGCTGAGATCAAGAGGAAGTTGCAGAAGAAGGAGAGGAAGAAGCTGAAGCAGGAGAAGAAACGCTTGCAGGCGTTGGCAGCGGCTGCAGAGACGCAAAACAACAACTCCTCCCCCCTCCTGGAGCCTCCAGAACAGGTGGGGGGGGGGCTCCTGCCTCCCTGGAGGGTTGGGGGCTGCAGGGGAGGGCCAGGGAGCCGCCTCCAGGAGCAGCCGTGCGCGTGTTGTGCTGAGTGGGGGGTGGCACTGAGGCCTCTTCCTCCTTCCCAGGAGAACCAGGCAAAGGCCAAGAGGAAGAA